ACCTAGCTTACCAAAGGAAAAGCACTAGTGGCTGAAATCCCACAGCTGCTGCCATCACAGCTGCTCCTGCCATGATTCTTATCATTACCACTGCTCTGCGACTTCCCACTGAGCTGCCAGGAAAGGTTTAGCAGCAATACAAGCTAAAGCAATAGCAACAGCAGGTCTCATTTTAAGCCCCAGCATTTTGCATTTAGTAGCTTCACCCTCTAATACTGGAATACTTTTATATGGGACAGAAAAAGTGACTCTGCTATTGCTTAGAATAACCACACAAAAAGATCTTCTTAAACACTAAGCAGTTAAAATAACAGATTAGTCACACTGGGGGGGGGGGGCTGACTATAAAAAAAAAAAATCCCAAACAAACAAAACAAAATATAAACAAACAAACAAAAAACCAAACCAAACAACCCTCTCCCTTTGCTTTCCTTGTTCTTACTCTCTTCTTAATTTCTCAACCAGTTGTTGTTCTCCCTGCAAACTACTCCTTGCTTCTTAGTTTTGTGTCTACAACCTCACAAAGACCTAGGCCCAACCAGTTCTCTCTCCTCTACTCATTTCTTTCACCTACTCATTTCCTGAACAAGAGTCCCACTCTCTAAAACAAGCACCTTTTGCTTTCTACACTGCTCAGCTGAGCACTCCACTTCTGGCACTTCTTCCTTCTTCCTCCTGCACCACCCACTTGCTGCGGCATGCAGATTGCCCATGTGAACTCTGCTTCACAGAAGCTGATGGTCCCTGCAGTACATCTAGGAAAAATTCGCAGATCACTATCTCCTGGGAAAAACTTGATGGTGGTTTTCTTAGCTAAGAAAAGCCTTCATAATTCTGCTTTTACTCTTTTTAATGTTAGCTGGAAGCATGAAACTCTAGAATTAGTATAGAACCCATGATATTTCCCAATTATGTATATCCCTTCTCATTATGCTTTATCAGTATTTGATGAAAGAGAAAACAGACAAGTCACCTCTCTTTTTCTGCTCTCAGTCTGTTTCACCTAATTAGCACTTTATGCTAGAAAATGCCTTTTATTATGTGCTTAATACAGTGTATAGCACTGTGAGACCTAGATTTCTACTGCATCCCTATATCCAAATAATGATTATTAGTCCTTTTTTTCAAGTACCTTACATTTCACCCCCAGATTCACCTACTGCAGTACCTTTTTATAGTCTTCAAGTTACTCTATAAGCTAAGATTTGGTTAAGGTTGCTCTAGACAAATGATTCAAATCTTCCATCACCATAAAAGCCTTTATATCTACAAAATAGTGATACCCACCTTGGAAAATACTGTTTTCAGGAGACTACTTTGACAATTAAAATATGGTGGTTATTAAAAGCTAACTACGGATTTTCCAGCACAGACCTCTTAACAAGACCAGAGCCTTGATTTTGGAATCATTCTCTGCTCCTGAATTTCAAGGCCAGGCAAGCATCTTCAGTGCAAACAGCACCTTCTTCACCCCTTGAGTATTAGGCAATACTGCTCTTACAGAAAAAAAAAAACAAACCAACAAACAAACCAAACAAAGAACAAACCTCACCACATTGAAATATGAAAAGCAGATGATTGCTGCCTCTTTCTTTCCTTCAAAGCCCCTATCTTTCACACTTTATGTATGGCAGAAAGGCAATAGTCATTTGAAATATGAAAGCTTCCTTGGAGAAAGGTGACCACACAAGGCTATATGCAATAGGAGTAAAAGCTTTTCTCCTTTTGTGTTTGCTGGGTGCAAAACAAACCCAGGCTTTGTTGAAACAGCAATCCAACAGAGAGGCAAAGAGGTAATAGCTGATCATCTCTCCCTCATAAGGACTAAAAAGGAAATTGAGACATTAGAAGATAAATCTTTGCATTTAAAATAGCAGACATTACTAAATCTACTTCACATCATGTATCAGCTAGCCTTTGGATAGATGGTGATCAGAAAAGTCAAAATCTCTCCTTTGTTCAACAGTTTCATTATTGTTACTCTCCTTCTGCATCACTCTCTCTGTTTAACACCCTGGGGTCAGGCCCCAATTTAGCAAACTGCACAGTGTTAACCCTATAATGTATCTACTTCTTTCTGCCTTCTCAGCACAATATTACTACCCATGCACTGCAGAGAACATATAATGTACTACAGTCTGCAGTATGACTTGCATACTTGGTCAATAAATAAAATACAGAATATTTATAAAGAACTTGCACCCATCAAGCTGAATACACAACATATGATTTTATCATATTCAGCTGTACTTTCTAAAAACAGAGTTAGTCTTCCTCTTTTTTCTTGTGCAACAGCATATGACTAGGTTTTCATCTCCCCTGAAATGCTTAAAGGCCCCCCCCCAAAACTCTGAACCCATTTTTTTGGTGATTGCTGGCTCCAGTAATCTGCTCATTTATCAATTACTTAGTCACGGATCCTGAAAATTGGCAATGTCAAAGCTTTTGCTGACTGCTAATTCTCCTAGGTGATATATATTGCACAAATAAGAACGCTACATTAAAATGCTGGCATTACATACAGCACAACATTTTCCACTCTCCCTGAAATGATTTATCATAGTCACGTTCACAATCATTCAGCCTCCTTCACCATAATTTATTGGGAAGCTGTTCCATAATTGCTGGTATGACTTTGCCAAGAATTATATGATGAGAAGATTTCAGTCATTAACTATCTAGAAATAACAAGTATTATCCTCACATATGACAATGAAAGCTACATTGACACTTAATCCACTCACATCACTTTCCATATCAATACATATTACCCCTTCTGGAAGGGCGCTGTGTTTGGAGGAAAGCCTATGAAAACAAAAACATGTACAAATAATTCCACAGGCAAGGAAACAAATTAGATATACAGTTGTTACAGTAGATGGTACAATGAAGCTGACTGATTCATTGTATCTAAATGCACAGAGGAAACATTCATACATTTATTTCCCTGGATATAGTACTATTGCACCTCATGCTGTGTTGCATGCTGCAGCTCTTTTTCACTGCAGAAGAAATTGCCCATCCATTCATTCTCTTGGATATTTCTCTACCTTTAACACTGAAAGCACTAAGGCAAAAAAATTAATGCCTAGCAGTTGCCTTTCCAGTCCACATTTACATACTTAAATATACTTGCTAAGCATCATCAAGCATTATTGGATTCAAGAGAGCTCTGGATGCATCACACCATCAACCTCTTCAGCATTATTTTAAAACCATGCTTCACGTTTCAGTGACCAAATATGGACTTAAAGTTAAGCATCCATTTCATTATGATGACAGGTATACCTTGCTATACCCTGTTGCTATGGTAACAGATATAGTAGCCATAAGATTTATGTTAAAATGTATTCCCAAAAGGTAATTTTTTTTCATTCTCACTTGCATGATCATACCAAACTACCTAATTACAAAGAGAACTCGGTGAATATGCTCGTAGCTGACATCAGCAGGTCCTACAAGTCTTGCATTCACCTTCTTTGGGTGTGAATGTAGGAGATAAACTATACAGATGCTTTAATCAAAAGATGTAAGAATTCTTGCTTCCAGATGAAACTAATGACAATTTAAGAGGAGATCATATGCTAACCAGGACTTAACTGACTACAGCTATCCCAAATCCTGTACAATATGAAATGGAAAATATTTACTACCTGTGAGAACATCATTTTTGGATTCGCTGAAAAGCAATGGAAACAATTAAGAAAATTCCAGACACATTTCCTGCCTGTTACTGAACACATATTAGAATTCTTCTCCTGGTTTAACATACCTTATGGTGAGATTATTTACATTCAAAGCTATTAACATTTCAGTTTACATCAAAATTCTCAGTTTTCAAAATTTTCATAAGTCAGGCAAAGGAAAAAACTACTTTAGCAGCAGGCGAGAACAGTCTCACAGCTGGCATACAAGTAGTTGGGGAAAATGTTCTTAAACTACAGCTATTCAAGTAAATGCATACCACAGCAAACATTTAAGATCTCTTCCTGGTCAAGCTGAAAGAAAGCCAGTATTGCATTAACGAAAATATCTTCACAATATTTAAATTATAAAAATTGTTATATTCTTACATTTTGTATATTTCTTTTTTAAGCATGATCATGTCAAACCAACTCAGAAGATGATTTAGTGTTCAAGGTTTCCATGAATAAAAATTCTAAAGTATGTTTTTATTCTAAAAAAACTTCCAGCATCAGCCTTTGTATTTGGTTGCCTAGAGAGGTGGTGGATGTGCCATCCCCAGAGACATTTAAGGCCAGGCTGGATGTGGTTCTGGGCAACCTGATCCAGTTGAAAATATCTCCACTCATGGCAGGGTGGTTAGACTAGATAACCTTTGAAGGTCCCTTCCAATCCAAACTATATTATGATTCTGTGATTTGCAAATATACAGGTGACAAACTATCTGAAGTCTAATGGGCAGCTCTGATATTTTCTGAAGTGCTCCCACTGATGCTGGGGTCATACTGTACACCCAGCCCTCAAACAACCACAAGAAAGTCGAACACAACTGGACTAGTACTATGATGTGGCACAATTAGTGTGAATTTGTTGTAAATCAAATATTTAAAATTTTAAGTGCTTCCATAAAGGATAAACAATATGATATTTATATTGAATTAAAATATCACCTTGTAAAAAGATAATACATCTCTGTAGTCAGATTTACAGAAAGAGATAGAGGACAAAACAATCTGAAGCAATTGTAGGTTCATGCTGCCAAAGAACTCACATCCCAAAAGACCTCAGACCACGTTTCCTATTTGTCCACGATTCCTGCTCCAGCCCTACACACAGTGCACATGTTGCTTCTGAATCTTTTCCAAAACACTTTAGAAAGTGGGGAAAAAAATTAGAAAATCAACACTTCTTGGCTATAGTGATATTATTCAGTGCTATAACCAAGCGAGTTTAGAGCTAGCAAGAGCTAATGACCACATTAAAGGAATAAATGAATCATTTCACCCAAACTACAAACATGCAGATCTTTCCCTTACCTGCCTCCTGTCCCTCTGAGATGATGATGAAGAGGAGGCACTTCGATGTGATGGAGTGGATGTTTTGTGAGCTGGAGATAAACTCTTCTCCTCTGAACTCATCTTTGCAGCAAACTTGTACTAATGATCTTGTGCTCTTATCACTCATGTACAAAAAGGCAAGGGACAGTCTTCTGCATCCTTCTGTTTCACAGTTTATGGACAGCCCAAAAGGAATTCAATCTCAGCTGAACTGCACCTTAATAAAGAAAAATGTGAGAGAAAGAGTGAAAGAATACACCTGTGCTCCAAAGTAGCTCTGCAGCAATCTGTTGACAGCCACTATTTAATCCAACAGAATTCCCATTTTTTATGTCCCTCCCTAACAACGACACAGTACAAACACATTGTTCTGCATTCTCACAGAACATTAAAGCGGTATTACATTATTCCAAACTACCCTACAGAAAGGCTTAAGGAATTGACACCAATTCTCAGGCAAAGTTTACAAACCTTTGATCATTACTGCATCTTGCATAGTATCATAACATTATCAAGTAACTCCTTAGGACTTCCCATTAAACACAAATACCCCTGAATGCCCCATTATATCAGCACTTCGTCAAAATCCTGCAGTTAGATTAAGGATTCTGAAAGTTGTTTATTAAAATCTGGTCCATCTTTCAAAGTCAGTGGCCTCACTGAAGGGGGTGGACAACTCAAGTTTCACTCCCCTGCAGCCCATGAAGGAGATGGATAGTCCTGAAGGAACTGCAGCCTACACTGTGCAGATTTTTCCCTGAAGGACTGCAGCCCTTGAGGAACGCATGTCAGAGCAGGCGAAAAGTGCAAGGAGGTAGGAGTGGAAAGGAAAAACTGCTATGTACCAACCACAAACACCACCACACACCCCACCATGCCACTTGGGGCAGGGGAAGACTAGAGATGTCAGGAATGAAGAAGTGAAGGTGAATCTGCGAAAAATGGGAAGGAGGTGTTGTCATTTTAATGTCTTTCATTTCTCATTACCTAAATCTATTTTAATTGGCAATAAATTAATTTTTCCTGAATTTTGTCTGCAACAGTAACTGATAAGCAGTCTCTTTGTCTTTATCTAGACCCATAAGCTTTCTCATCCTATTTTTTCCCCACATGCCACTGATGTGGGAGGGGTGAGTGGCTGGGTGGGCATTTGGCCCTGGCTGGCTAACCCAAGGCAGCTACAGGGGCCTGTTTTACTACTACTGTTTACTCAGCCACTGCTACATGTATTACCTCTTTGCAAGTATTAAATGCTTTCTCTCACTTACTTCTGTCCACCCAAACCTTTAATCCATCCAAGAACAGAAAAAATAGATACTTAGGGCAGCACCAAGGATATTTTTGTCAATAAATAATCAAACATTAACTGTCAAACACTACAAAAATGTTGCAAGTACATTATGACAGTTAAGGAATGGAGTTACAGTTCCCAATGTTTAACAGATTACTTTTATCATGCTTCAGCTGATAGATACTGTGTCTGATCTCCCATTAACCTTGGATAAAATCATTTCATGAATGATGTAGTCTGCTTGAAGCTAACATCTATCTTCCTCATCACCCTCTCTTTAATTTTGAAATAGTGTCCTTCCACATATATTTTGATGACAGCACGCCAAGCATAGCTAGCTTTAGCTGTGTGGAGACAGGTGCTGTCCTGCACCATGTTAAATGAGATCAGGACAAAAATACATTAACACTCCAACCTAACTGCAGGCTCAAAAAATTATGACATATTGAAAATAGAGCTCTAGCTTCTCCAGTCACAACACACCCATACAAGAATATCATCCTGAACCCACAAACTCACACTGAGTCAGCTAAATAATTAATTACATTGTGCCTTGCGGCCACCAGCTTTCAAATACTGCACCCTGACAAACAGTCTTCTTCTGGAGCTGAGACCTGTGATGACTTGTAAGTGAGAGACACCTTTTCTGCTCATTGTACTATGGAAAGTGGAATGATTCCACTTCATTAGTTACCAGCACTTTTCCAAGTATGAATATCACCATCTTACGGATGAGCTTCCACCTCTATCAAAGAGTCTCCCAAAGATATACTGATCCCACATAATATCCACAGAGCCCACATAGCAGCCCACTGGTATGACTAGAAGGACATGGCTGTTCCACAAGCAAAAGCTGCCCACATCACCTGAACACCTTGACAAATTATCTTTTCTTCTTAGGATTAGAAGTTCCTGCTAGAAGAAACCTAAAAAGATCGGTTGTGCTACATTAAGCAGAGTTTGAAGGAAAAAAGAAACAAGATGAACAGCACATTTGTTTCAGAACTTCAGAGAGAAAACAAAATGAAGTTGCACCCTGAGAGAGGCTTTTCTTCTATCCTAGCATACCAGCAACTGCTGAGCTATTTTAACAGTATTTTCATATTCTACAAATGCATCCGGTAAATTGCAGCTGAAGAGATGTACCAACAGTGATAACCTAAGGTCTATGCAACTTTCTTATAAATCAGAAATCAAATTACAAAATTTAGAACACAAAAACTACAATCCCTCCTCAAAAAGCTGTGCAAAACAGTTGAGTTATTTAATAGTTAAACTGACAAATTTTCAGTCACTTTCAGCTCTGAGGTCACTGAAAATTTTTTAGCAGAGCAGCCTTCGGGCAAATGAAAATCAAAGCCCTTTTAAAACATCTGATCTTCACTCAGCTAGCTTATCTGAAAAGAATATATTTAGTATTGGCACAGGACAGTGATCTGCCTCTTCAAATGTGTTTTTAAGGCTTCTGCAAAGCATAGGTACTGTTGAAAGAAGCAAACACAGTGCTAGCAGATGGTACACAAGAAAAGCAGTTCTGTCAATAGTTGCCAGGTATGGGTCTGTGAAGTATGGGCTTTTTGTTTTGAGAGGTATTTAAAAAAAAAAAAAAAAAAAGAAAAATTAAAAAATTGTGGTTTACGTCTAAGTCAAACTCCCGTGGTGGTTCTGTGGTGCTCCCCAAGCATTAAGAGCTGACCCTAACCAACAACTTGCTCAAAATTTATCAATAGCAGTCTTCCAAAAAGGATACATAAAATTAAACTGCCCCCCCCCCCCATACTACAAGAAGCAAACATTTTTCCTTGCTCTATTTAACAGCAACAATAAATTCAATGCAAAATTGCTATTACTTATACATAGAAATTTCTGATAAAGAAACAGTTCAGGGTTAAAAGTCAAAACCAGGCAAGTGGGATATTTGTAAAAACAAGCACTATCAGCACAATAAAAAGTACTAATGCAAACTAGCAAGAGCTAGCATTGAGCTTATTGTTCTTGCACACTGAATTTGGATTCTGTTTCTCTGTATTGCTAAGAGCTTATCTTCCAATTTTCGCTTAAAATTTAGGTAATACATCTTTTTTAGACCATGTTATAAGGAATAAATTCAGACAAATTGATGTGAAGAGCCACCAGTCTCTTGTAAGTAAACAATAACAAATCTAATTTTTTGGCCAACAAATTCAATTTACCAAAACAAAACCAGTGCTTTTGAGACTTTTCACAGACTTTTTCCATCAGTCACTGGCAATTTTGCTACTGACTTCAATGGGAAGAGAAGCAAGCCACATACCATAGTAGAATATTTCTAGAAAATAATACAAAATCTAAAAAAACAAACTCAAAAACGATGATGTTGGGTTTGGGGTGGCTGGTCAACTTTTTTCACTGGTATCTCAACTATTTTGGATTTAAAACATGACTTGTAATTCAGTAATCATAAAAATTATTTACTTGGTCTTCAGTACATTCTCTTCTAAGTTCTTTATTTATTTTTTATGTAACGCATATAGAAAGGTAAAAAGTTCTGCCCAAATTCAAGGAAAGAGCAAGTCCTGCAAGCAGACCATGCAGCAAGGTCCCTGATGCATAAGGAAAAAAACATGTGCCATGATTGTAACATACTCCAGATGAGGCAAAACATCTCAAAATATCTGTATCTAATCCATTTCATAAAGGAATACAAAATTACTGTACAGAAACTAAATATGAAATTACTTAAGAAATACACCAAAGATTCTTCACTGAGTAGGTAAGAAATCGTTTATTCTTTATTAAATATCTGGTATTGATTTCTTATTTTATAATAAGAAAAAATAAGAGAGAGAGGTGGAAACCTAGGGACTCCCCAGCCCCCATTCTTTCACTGTTTCAGTCTCAGAGTTTAACATATTTTACTGCACAATTATTTTTCCCTCTTTTATTCTCAGTTTGTTAGCGTTGTGGTTTGGGTTTTTTCCCCCAGTTTCTCAAATCAAGTATTAGATAGGTCTTAAAAACAAAGCCATTCTTCATTTTCTTTCAATCCACAAGGGGATTCACTGGAAAAAAATGATGGTTTCTACCATATGAAAAAAAATTATTTAAGATGCATCAAAATAAATGACCAATCAACCCAGTACCAAGACATAACATGATTATTTTTTATATTGATGCCACACTGACTAGTTTTGAAAGACAAAAAAGCACTGACAGCTACTTTTACTTACTGATTTTTCATCACCTTCTATCCCAGGTTACAATAATACATTTGATTCAGCATCTCTTAAAAGTATTCCCCGGGAATTCTGTGGACTGGACTTTTCAATAGCATAAAAATACTGAAGTGTCCTCGGTTCAGCTGTAACAGTTATTTTTCTCCTTCCTAATAGCTGGTGCAGTGCTATGTTTTGGCTTTAGTCTGGGAACAATGTTGATAACACACCAATGTTTTAGTTAAGTAGCACTTACCCTGATCAAGGACTTTTCAGTCTCTCATGTTCTGCCAGTGAGGAGGGGCACAAGAAACTGCGAGGAAGCAGAGACAGGACACCCGACCCAAAGTAGCCAAAGGGGTATGCCATACCACAGTATGTCATGCAGGGTATATAAACGGGGGGTAGCCACCTGGAAGGCTGAGACCACTGCTTGGGTCAGGCTTGGTATCTGTCAGTGGGTGGTGAGCAATATTATTGTGCATCACTTGTGCTTGTTGGTTGTTTTTTTGTTCCATTCCCCTTCTAGTTTTATATTCTCTCCCCTTGTTATTTCCCTTAGTAGTAGTAGTTTTATACTTTAGTTATTGGACTGTTCTTATCTCAACCCACAGGGTTTACATTCTTTTGATTCTCCTCCCCATCCTGCCCAGAGAAGTGGGGGAAGTACGGAAGGGAAGGGAAAGGCTGAGTGAACAGCTGTGTGGTGCTGAGTTACCAGCCGCGCTTAAA